AAAGTATTTTAAATTTTAATTGGATGCATGAAAGCAGTTAGTCTGGGATGTTGCCCAAGATTCTTTCTTTATACTTCTTATTGGCTTATCTAAAAAACAGATGTATTATTTCTCTTTATAACTATTAATATGCCATTCCAGGAATAATAACAATTACTGAAGTAAGAGGTATGGTGTGTGGTTTATGGGCTTGGATTTAATGGGTAAATCTTTCTAGTTCCTCTGGAATTGAGCCATTTTTCTTTGTTAGATTTTTTAAAAAATAAAGTACAACCATAGTAACTGATGTAATGACATTGAGTAGCTGGTTACTGTTGACTGAAGTAAAACAGACTTTTAACAGCTTATGGGTAATGTCTGAAAGGTAAAGTGACACAAGATAAATGTCTGTGTTCCCCTGTGAAAATAGCAAAAGGCAATGGAACCAAGAGTTAATTGACTTGTAAATTTAATCCTACTTTAATAATACTTTGGTATTATGAAAATTGTACTGTGATTTCTTTTTGCACAGTAATACTAAGAATGGAAAATAAGATGATAAGGGTTTGAAGGTTGTAAATGCTGATTAAATTTTGTAAATAAGCTCAAAGTGTATGTGTGTATTTTAAAATCTTATATACCCAGAAAAGAGAATTAGGGGAATTTTTCTGGGTAATTGAGTATCCAGTAACTCCAGTTTTTACATGATTTATAATTATCTTGTTTTATTCTCTAGTTTGATAGAAAAATATAAATTCCTAAAATATTTTTGAAATAGAATAATTTAACCTCAGATTTCTTTTTCTTGGGGGAGGACAGAATCTCACTCTGTCACCAAGGCTAGAGTGCCGTGGCGTCATCATAGCTCGCTGCAACTTCTAACTCCTGGACTCAAGCAATCCTCCTGCCTCAGTCTCCCCAGTAGCTGGGAGTACAGGCACATGCCACCACGCCTGGCTAAGTTTTTCCATTTTTAGTATAGACAAGGTCTCACTCTTGCTCATGCTGGTCTTGAACTCCTGGCCTCAAGCAGTCCTTCCCCCTCGGCCTCCCCGAGTGGTAGGATTACAGGCATTAGCTATCTAGCCTGGCCTAACCTCAGATTTTGTCCTGTAAGTAGTCATTTAATAGTAGGAGGATTTTTTCAGCTAAAAAGTTTTAGATACTTTAAAAGGATTGATATAAACTTCATCTGAAGACAATCATAATTTAAACTTGGAAGGTAAATACTTAAAATGTAAAATCTGGTCCCACCAAACATAAAGTAGGGAAAAAATATGCTACATGTAGGGTAATAAGAACGAACCTTGTACCAATTGAGGCTTATTCTCTCTTCTGCTTGGCTTAGAGCTTGGAATATAATTGTACAACTTTTGAGTTTAAACTAAATTAATGTTTTGGATTAAAAAAAACTCCACACTTCCTGTATAGAATCACAAATTGTATTTCCTGATACTTAGGGGTTTTAAATAGAACTTGAAAGATTTCTGGTAAAGGTAATGAATTTTATTTTGGGAAAAATGATGGAATGGAAATTTGAATGAATGAAAACCAAGGAGATTTCTGGTTTCTTTTAAAGAATATAAAGTGTCTGACAAATTTAGCAGATTGAGAATCAAAATAAGAAAAAGCTGTATATATTTTATTCTTTGCTTTTTCATACTTGTGAGAAATTTTGAAGTATATCACTTATTTGCTACAATGTGGTTACATTATGTGGGCAAGTAAAGTATTGATTTGAAAATTTAATGTTAACAGATTCCTAATAATAGTATGTGAAGATATTCACACCCACATTCAGAATGTTGTGTATTGCTAATAGGCAGCCTGTCTTGGTATGGCCAGATTAACCATTTCCAAACATTTAAATTTTTACAGCCCTTTAAAATTATTGGGGCAGTTATATTCGACCCTCGAGTAAGCAGGGTAAACATCCGTGACCTAGATCTGATCTTTTTTTGGCTGTTCAGTCTTTTGAAGTTGGCCTTAAAGCCTGAAAAACTCACAGATTTCTTCTTGAATTGTTTTAATTGATCAGCTTATCCTAAGTGACTGGCCAAACAATATTTCATGTTAATAATTCAGTTGATTTGAATGAACCTATCACTTCTCCCAATTTGGGCAAGACCACTTGCAAATAACTGCTCTGTTTTAAGCTAGCTTTGGTATATACTGATTTTACTATGTATAGCAGATAATCCAACTTAGGTTATTACATACTCAAAAGCCCTTTTAAACCAAAATTAAGCTTAATCCCTTTTTAAATTAAAAATGAATGTCTGCCTTATAGCACTTTCTTCTCTGCTCGGCAGTGTTTCAGAATCAGTTAAACAAGGGATACTTTGAGAGTCTCAGCAGATTATATTCCATTGATTTGTTTTTCCTTTCAGATCCTAGTAGGCTAAGTAAAGACTAGGGGGGAAAAAAACCCAAACTATAGAATGTGAAATATGTTAGTGACTAAGAATATCACTTTCTGAACTTTTTACCTTTTACTTTTAAGATAAAGATACAGATACTACCATGAAGGGGAATGTGGATGACTTCGGCCTGCGAGACACCTTAAGCGTCTCATCAACTGATTCCTTTGCTTCAGTGGCAGAGGTAGGACATGTATGTTCCTGATGAGGATCGCTCTTTCTTTTTTGGCTGGAGAGAACAGTTTTGCCTTTGTACTATAATTCAGTTCAGTCACCATTTATTTGACATCTACATGTGGTAGATACTAGGATACAAAGATGTATATAACATGAAAATAAGCTTTATAGTCTCTTTAAGACATGCAAACACATACTTTAGGTGAGTACTTTCATATGTTTTAGATTATGGGTGAGGCATATAATTTAGTATCTTAATGAAAAGCACTTTTTCAACTCATATCAAGAGGTTTTGTTTTTTGTTTTTTGTTTTTTTTTTTCCTGCTGGCACCTTCATCCTGGATTTTTTTTCAAGAATCTTAAAAATATTCAGATTCCTTAGTTCAGAAATCATACTTCTAGATAATTGTTCCAAGGAAGTGATAAGATTTACAGATTATAAAAATATTCACTGTGGGCCAGGCATGGCGGCTCAGGCCTGTAATCCTAGCACTCTGGGAGGCTGAGGCGGGCGGATTGTTTGGGCTCAGGAGTTCAAAACCAGCCTGAGCAAGAGTGAGACCCCGTCTCTACTAAAAATAGAAAGAAATTAATTGGACAACTAAAAATATACAGAAAAAATTAGCCGGGCATGGTGGTGCATGCCTGTAATCCCAGCTACTCGGGAGGCTGAGGCAGGAGGATAGCTTGAGCCCAGGAATTTGAGGTTGCTGTGAGCTAGGCTGATGCCACGGCACTCACTCTAGCCCGGGCAACACAGTGAGACTCTGAAAAAAAAAATATTCACTGTGGCATTTCAAAAATAATGAAAGACTGAAAACAGTCTAATGCCAAATTATAGTACATCCATAATTTGATATTACAGAGCCATAAACATGTTTACAGTAATTTTTAATGACATGAGAACATAAGTGAAAAGAGTAGCATATAAAGTTTTATATAGAGTGTATGATTATAACTTTGTATTATAAAAAGAAAATAGAAAAGATGTGTGTATATAAATATATTGGAAGAGGAAAAAAGGCTAGCTATAAATACACTAGTGTATAAACAATGATGAGCACTGAATTATAAATCTGTGGGTAATTTATTTTCTACTGAGATTTAAATTTTGTACCAAAAGAGACTGCTTGCAAAGAAGTCATCTTTCTGTATTTTCTTCTACTTAAAACAGCTTTAAAAATCACATATGGTCAATTTTGTCTCAGAGTATTTGCATTGTATGGTAGATTTTGGATATTAGATGCTGTCTTTTTCATTAAATAGTATTACACATCTGTAACTGATGTGTGAATTTAATCTTTAGTATGGAAAGCTTTAGGTATTCCAATACCTATACCCTAAACCTTGATTTTGCCTTTTTTTTTTTAAAACAATACTGATGATAATCTCTTTCATCCTCTCAACATTTTTCTGTGTGTATATATCTAAGCCATCACTTTCTGTATCATCTCCTGAATTGTTTGTATTTTAAAAAGTTTTTTTGCAGTTATAAATTTCAATAGAATATATCTACTTGTTCTGTGGGAAACCTATTTCCTCTTCCTTTTACTGTTCAATACATGTTTATCTTTCTGTTCCATAGACACTAAGTCCTAGATGGTTTGTAAGGAGAAAAATTGCTATTCACTTTGCATTCTTTTCCACTGTGAGGAACAATACATCTAATTGCTCTAAAGTTTCTTTCTAGACGGGCATGGTGGCTCATGCCTGTAATCCCAGTACTGTAGGAGGCTGAGGCAGGAGGATAGGTTGAGCCCAGGAGTTCAAGGCTGCAGTGAGCTATGATTGTGCCACTGCATTCCAGCCTGGGTGACAGAGCAAGACCTTATCTCTAAAAAAAATAAAATAAAATTTAATTTAAAAAATAAGTCTCTTTCTATTAATAATATGCAACTTTAAAAAATATTTTGCCAGCTAGAGGCTATGGCTCACACTTGTAATCCCAGCAACTCAGGGTGCTGAGGTGAGAGGATTGCTCGAGGCCAGGAGGTTGAGACCAGCCCAGGCAACATATCGAGACCCAGTCTCTAAAAAAGAAAAAAATGAAACAAATTAGCTAGGCACAGTGGTGTGTGCCTGTAAGTCCCAGCTACTTGGTAGGCTGAGTCAGAAGGATCTCTTGAGTCCGTGAGTTCAAGCATGCAGTGAGCTATGATTACACCACTATACTCCAGCCTGGGCGACAGAGTGAGACTTCATCTCTAAAAAGAAAAAAAGAAAAAAAAAATTTTTTTGCCAAGTGTTTATTGTACTCACTTTAAATTTGTTGTTTAATAAGGTTTAATAAAAATTTTAAAATCCTCATGGAAAACAAAATGTATGAATATACATTAAAAGGATTTAATATCTAAGAAACATCCTTAGGAAAGCTTCTAGGGTATGAAAGTATGATCTCGTGAATGTTCCAAGGTATATTCTTTCATGTTATAAGAAATGTTTGTTAGAGTATTTTTAACTGCATTTATTATATGCCAAGGACTTAAATTAGGGAAAACTGTTTTAATGAAGAAAGTTATTAAGATAGTAAGATCAGAACTCTTTGGGAAGTTAACAGTTTTTGATTATTTGAAAACTTTTTTCAGAATTGCCAGAAAGATTTCTTGCCTATTTAGATAAGAACAATTCCTGGCTTAGGCTTTTCTCTAAGCTAGGTCAATCATTTGTCAAAGTGATTAACAGATTTTCCTCTATAACCCTTGCCAAACATTGGTTTGGAACCACAGCTGAAAAGTCTTTTTTAAAGATATAATAGGTTTATTGAGATATAATTCACATGCTATAAAATTTTTATCCTTTTAAGGTATATAGTTCAGTAGTTTTTAGTATATTCGCACAGTTGTGCAGCCAGCACTACTTTCTAACTCCAGAACATTTTTACTACCTCCAAAATAAATCCCTACCCATAATAGTCGCTCTTCAAACCCCCTACCCCTTAGCCCTTGGCAACCAGTAATCTACTTTCTGACTCTATGGATTTACCTTATTCTAGACATTGCATATAAATGGAATCATACAGTGTGATATGTTGTGTTTGGCTTTCTTTCACTTAGCGTAATGTTGTCTTTCAAGTTCTGAAAAGTCTTTTAATGTCAAGATGCCATTGCATTGTACCCCTAACTCTTCCATCTGTTAAAGAGATTGTCATTTAATAGGTAGAAGAAACTAATATTGCAGAGAGAGCAATTTTCAGCTGTAGATTCCATTTTTCTTAGAATTACCACTCTGCAACATGTATATGTGTTTAACATATAAGTTACAGGCTTCTCTTTAAAGAGAAAATTTTATTTTTTATAATTCAGATATCTCTGTTTGTATTCTAAATGGAAGCTTAGAAAGCTTTTGCTATATCCATCTCTCTGACCTGACAGCACTTGTTTCTAGCAATCTAGAAAATACACTAATAAAAATATATAAAAGGACAAAGATAAATATTTAAGAAAATCATAATCTGGAGAGGAAGGGCTATATCTGTCATTTAAAATTTATCTTCCGTGAAAGTAGGAAGGCTTGACTGGAGCTGGAAGATCTGCTCCCAAGATAACTCACTCCCATGGATGGCAAATTACTGCTACATATTTGGCAGAAGACCTAAGTTTCTCGCCACATTGGCTTTTCTGTAGGACTGTTGGAATATTTTCACAACATGGCACCTAGTTTTCCCCAGAGGAAGTGATCCAAGAGAGAGCTAGGTGGAAATGACTTTTATGACCTATCCTCATAAATTGCACTCCATCACTTCTGCGATATGCTATTGGTTACACTGGTTATTCAGTGTGGGATGGGATGTGAGCAACCAGGATGAGATAATCACTGAGGGCCAATTTCGTGGGTAGCTATTATAGGTTTATTCCCTTTTTAAATTTCTTTTCTGTTTTCTCTTAGGGGATACAGATAGGTAATAGCCTGCTTTCTTTAACTATAAGTCCTGTTTATAATTTTAGGTGATTGATTTGAAAGGAAAATGTAAACATGTAAAAAATGGTCCATATTAAAATGGAACTTAGCCTATTTCATAACCCCACTTGTAATTGATTTGAGGCTTCAGACATGTTTGTGGTCATTCATAGGCCCTGGTCTGGAAAACGGATTAAGGCTTTTAAAAAATATTCACATTCAGCAAAGTCATCACATGCCAAGGAAGATAAGGCCCAGTAGTCCCTCTTGTACCTCATGGAGGGCAAGAGAAGTAAATTAAGATGTTTGAAATCCTTAGCTAATCCCAAAACATTGTTTTCATTGGTTGCTTTATTTCTAGGATTTATCTGTTTTATTGGTTTTTATTGTTGCTGTTGTTACTGACTCCTTTGATTTCTTCTATGGTTATTTTTATGGTACTTGTGAAATATCGGAGGTAAGTAATAAGGCAGGATGATGCCTTGGTGTAAACTAATATAGTATCATTTTTCTCTTTGGAAATATTAAAATATGTCCTTTATTTGAAATGTGTCCTTTTGGAGGAAGAATAATTTAAGAACATTGGACATTTCACTATGCAAAAAAAGGAGTTCCTTTTCATGGCAAATTGCATGTTTCTGTAGCTGGGATTAAACCGTATCATTGACCTCTGCTTCTGAAGTAACATCTCAGCTCTAGTTAAGTTAATCTTTTTCTGAAACCTTTAAAAGAGTTTTTGGAATTTTGTGAAAAAATTCTTCCTATATAATGTATTCTAAAATTAGAATTTAAACCAGTATTTTAGTGAGTTGATTTTTGCTTTAAAAAATTTAAGATTAATGATTTAAATAAATGTTTATGAGTTATCATTGTCTCTTAAGAACAGTTGATAATAATTTTAGCTGGTATCAAATCTTCAATATGATATATTTTCACAGCTGCAATCCTATTTTAGGAGGCTTATTTAAACGATCACGTCAGCCAAACTAGCAAATAAGCAAGGAAGACCAATAAATCAAGACTTAACTCTCGAATCTCTCGTTGTTGGATTTGTTCACTTCTTATTAGTATAAATTATTTTATGTAGAGAATTTAATTGGCACCCAGCTTCCTTCTTGGAGTTTTTCTCTATTAGTAGGTGTACTATTTAACAGTGCTACAAAACTTCAAAACTATTTAGCATCTAAAGAATTTCCATTCTAAGTTATTTTTTAAAAGCTGTTAAGTTGTTTTTTAAACCTCAGAAACACTTTGCCATTGATGTTACATATGTTCCCTGAAATGTGAGGGAAAATGTTACTGAAAGCAGAGAATATATAATGTTAGATATTTTCATCTTCATATACCTTTCCTTGCCCCCCGGTCTAATAGATATATTTATATTATCCTAAATATTGCTGACACTGAAACTTCTTATCCTTTGGTTCTTTGGTAATTAAGAGTATAAGCTCTGGAATGATATGTCTGGGTTTAAATCTTGCCATTTAGTTGTGGGACTTGGGGCAAGTTCCTGCTAATTTAATCTGTTTCTTCGCCTGTAAAATGTGAATAATGGTAGTACCTGTTTTATGTGTTGTTGTAAGGATTAAATGAGATAACCAAGGTAAAGCATTAAGCACAGTGCTGGCTGATGTGAAACTTCTCCAAAACTAAAGGTTGGAGAAGTACTTCTGGAATAGTGGAGTAAAGATGTCCAAAAATCTCCTCCACAAACGCAGCGAGAACACTGGCAAAAATTGTCAAAAATCAAAATTTTTAGAACTCTGAAAATTGACAAAAGACTTGCAAAAATATTTGAGAAAAGTGGCCGAATCTCCATAAAAGCAGTGAACTTTGTGGATTTTTAATTTGCTCTATTCCTATCTCCCTCTTCATAGTAGTCTTGAAAACCAAGTCTTGCACCTATTTCACAGGTTGCTGTGAAAACCAGCAGCCTGGCATCCACTGGAAGGAACTTAATGACTTTGGTGCTTCCCCAAAGGCCCAATCCTAGAGAATTGTCACTATTTGACCTGTGTAACAACTCCCTGCAAATCCCTGTTCTCAGGGCTTGTCTTTATATGATCTGACTTAGAGCTCACTCTGTGTACAAAGTCCTATCCCTAGTGCCATTGTTGAAAACATTCAGTGGCAATTGTTTACCATTCCAGCTGCCTGAGGTGGCAATACCAGTTGGGGCTAAACAGAGGATGACCAAAAAACTCAAAAGGAAAAACTGGGCAAGGAGATGTTCAAAGGAGGCTTTGAAAAGCACCAACATATTTTGGGGAATCTAGAAGGTCATATGCATATACAGGGCTATATGCACATGCCCAGGAAAAACCTTAAAAGTCCCTAATCTCACTTCTGGCAAACCTTGATGTTCAGTGCAAGCAGGAAGTGAAGGTTAAACCAAAGAAAAAATAGACTAATTGGGCTTTATTAAAAGTAAAAACTTTTGTGCTCCAAAGAACACCGACAAGAAAGCGAAAGGATAGCAGAATGGAAGAAAATATTTGTAAATCATGTATCTGATAAAGGGCTTGTATTTAGAATATATAAAGAACTCTTACTACTCAACAGTAAATGGACAAATAATGACTTTAAAATGGGCAAAGATTTGGGTAGACCTTTTTACAAAGAAGATATATAAATAGCCAACAGGCCAAAGAAAAAATGCTCAACATCATTAGCCATTTGGGAATGCAAACCACTTCACATCCACTAGAGTGGCTTAATAAAAAAGATGGACAATAACTTGTTATCGAGGATGTGGAGGAATTTGAATCTCCATACATTGCTGGTGGTAATGGAAAATGGGCAGCCACTTTGCAAAAACAGTTTGGCAGTACCTCAAAAAGTAAAATACAGAGTTACCGTCTGACCCTTCCATTCCTAGGTATATATTAAGAGAATTTAAAACATATCTACACAAAACTTGTGCACACTATTAGCCTGTTAGTCCTGAAAAACAAAAAATACCCTTGTACACAAATGTTCAGAGTAGCTTTATTTGTGATAGCCAAAAAGTGGAAACAACCCAAATGTCCATCAGTTTGTAAGGAATGGATAAACAAAATGTGGTATATCTATACAATGGAATTTTATTCAGCTGTAAAAGACTGAAGTGCTGATAAAGTACTTACATCGTGGATGAACCTTGAAAACATTACGCTAAGCGAAAGAAGCCAAATACAAAAGATCACATATTGTTTGATTCCACTTACATGAATTTCCATAGTAGGAAATTCCATAAAGACTGCAAGTAGATTAATGGTTTCCAGGGACTAGGGCAAAGAGGCAGTTAGGAGTGACTACTGATGGGTAAGGGGGTTTCTTGTTGGTGTAATAAAAATGTTCTGGAATCAGAAAGTCGTGCTGGTTGCACAACTCTGAATATACTAAAAATAACTATATTGTGCACTCTAAGAGGGTGAATTATGGTATGTGAATTATATATCTCAAAACTGTTATCTTTTAAAAACCAAAAGCCAAAAAGTACAGTGTGTCATTAAATGGATCACCTGGTGTTAAAAAATAAAATCACTCCATAAGTTTTTTTTGTGTGTGTTTTATTTTATTTTGTTTTTGCTTAGCTGGCTACTCTACAGTGTTTACAACTGTTGCTTTTTAATGAACTGTCAGAAGACTGGAATTCCATTTGTAGAGTTGTTATGCAAACCAGAAGCACATGACTGTTTTTCAGTTATAATCAAAGCTACATATAAGAAAAAAAACCCTTGGAATAGCCAAAGTGAGCTTATTTCAATGTTTTTGTAGAAAGTTTTGCTTCATTTACAATAATGAGTTATAATACTTTTAAGTACTCTTTGTATGATGAAATCCTCCTCTCTTTTTTTTAATGCTTTTCAGTTATTCTCACCAGTGAACTGTAAGATAAAGTATCATTTTTCTGTGCACTCTATGAATTTAAGTAATTGGGCTTAAAATGAACTAAGCTTGTTATAAAGTTTTACTGTTTTTAACAACTGAATTTTGAAATAAAGTGAATTCAGTAGCTATAAAATGCTGTTGAATGGTTTTTATACTTTAATCAAATTTAGTGTATTTTGATGTTAGTGAAATCCTATTTTATTTCTTTTACAGTGTTTCTTCTCATATCAGTCTAGTGTGTTTTAATCCACTGTTTCCTTAGCTTGCAGAGCACAGAGAAGTACGGCATACCTACCGCCTGGCATCTCTTTGTCACTGCCCTTTTTACGAAGAAGCCATGCATTTAGTGGAAGAAGGAAAAATTTACTCAAGAGTATTGAGGTACCATTTCAGTTTTGCTTATGTTTATGAAGAATATTAAGGTGTTAGTATGATATTTATTAAAAATGTTTGTGAGAACAGGGAAAAATATGTTTTTAGGCCCAAGTTAAAAAAATTTTTTTTACATGTTCTGTCAGTATTAAGAAGACATGTGTTTTATATTAAGGTCCTGAGGTTAAGCCTTGTTTGAGTCCAAATTTGTAGTAGGCTTGACTTGAATGTAGTTTAACAATTGTCTTCCCTGTTTATTACATAGAACTGAAATGTTGGAGTGCCTAGGAGACAGTGATTTTCTTGCCAAACTTCACTGTATTCGACAGGCTTTTCAGGTATTTTTTTTAACTTAAGCGCTTTCACCCAGCCACTCATCCCCCACCCCATGCTAAAGAGTCCAGTGTATATAAACAAGGACGGTTCCTTGCTCGTTATTATCCTTATTCGCAATGGCAAATATAAAGTCTACTAAGCTTATTTTTCCTCCCTACTGCTTCCCTTCATTTTGTGTCCATGTGTCATTGTCCTCTCCCACGGCTTCCCAGGTCCTCCACCACACTTTGTCAAAGCAGGATATTTTGATGCCGTAGGTGTGTAACAATGGCTGCTTAAAATAAAAACTCTTTCTTATTATCACTTAGTGTGTATTCTAGATTTAATTTGGATCAATTACAAAATCCTTGATTTCCTAAAAAGAAATAAGGTCATTTAATAAAATATTTTTGTTTTCTTATGTTTTGGGGCTATATAAAATTTATTTTAGACTTTCTAATACTATGTTGAACAGAATTTAAATTCAAATTTATTACTCTTTAATCCTTTTTGACTGTAGGATTCAAGAGTTCTTTTTATTTTAGTAAATTTGGACTTTCTCTGTGGTCTGTTGAAATAGCACCACATGCAATGCATTAACTGGATTAGGCTTATTTATGCATAGATGTGCTATAAAGTCGAATGTCCATTCAGATTATCATAAGGCTCTTTTTTCTTTGTTTGGGGATGAATTTTTTTCAGGTAATTCTTTCAGAAACAGCCAACAGGATATTCCTTGCTGAGAGTGGAAGGAAAATTTTATCAGCTTTAATTGTGAAAGCACGAAAGGTAAACATGTTTTGTTGGCAAGGTTTTTATTATTTTTATTGAACTGAATATGAAAATACAGTACATGTTTGGTAGAAGAAAAGGTTTCATGAAGAGTTACAAAGGTTCACATTTTAAAAATAAATAACCCAAAGAACATTGATTTCTACTTGGGTTGAATTATTTTCTATGTAATAATGTAAAGTCCACACCATTTTGACCAAGTTGTTTCTCATAAATTATTCTCAGTTTGCCATAAAGTCCATGAATGTCATGGTAAGGATCATCATTAGATCTGTTCCTATAACCAGCACGATTATTATTACTATTAATAATACCTCCTCTCTTACCTCTCTCAATCCTGTTCAAGAAGAGGGTTACAGGAAACAATGGAGGTCTCAGAAATCTGGAATATAAATTTAGCTCCCTTTTACCCTTACTTACCTTCATGAAACTGAATGAGGCAGAAGCAATGACAAGAACTTCATTCAGACTTTCAGGAACCACTTTACTTTATGCAAGGTTCGTCCAGATGATGAGAAAATAAAACAAACTAGACCTTCACAGAGCCATTTGCATACCTGGTTTTCAGACCCAACCCCCTTGAACCTCAGTTTCCTTACTTGTATAATAGAATTTTTTATTACCCTATTTCAGAAGGTTGTTGTGATTAAATAAACTTAATAAATTGCTAAGTAAATATAAAGTGCTGAGTATATGTAAGGTCATATTAACTACTTGCAATTCCCAATGTAAATTTTATGTTGCTTTCTCAGCCTTCCCATGGCGTATAAACCCAGTGAATTGAAGTAGAGTTCCACCAGGAGCAGAACTGTAATAAAAGCATCACATAATGTCTGCTATAACCAAGTTTTCATTTTAAGGACTGACCTAAATAGGCATATATATTTGAGTAGTGAGTAGTTTGATTATCCAGTTCACTAACATTCTTAGTCTTGGCTTCTGCAAAATATTGGAACAAATTAGTAGACCAAATAAATTTGGCATACCTTAAAAATGGATGTGACAAACTTATTTGAAGAATAATTTATTTACTTTGTAGGCTTGAGCCTTGTTATAAAGTTGAGTTTAGAATTAAAATGTGTTTTCTTCTGCAGAATCCAAAGAAATTTGAAGATGTTTTTGATGAAATGATCTATTTTTTAGAACAGACTGATCACTGGGATAGTACTGAAATGGAACTTGCTGCGAGAGGGGTAAATTCAAATTTTGTATATTATTTATTCTTAGCTATTTGCACATAATATTTGTAAGTTGAGGCCACCATTTCCTTGTCCTCGTTAAATGACAATAAAGCCAATTGCATGGTGGTGGGGCAACATCATTCTTCTGACAGAATCATACACAATAGCAGCCACACTTTTTGTACATTAAGGCAACAGTTGTAAGTAATTGTTTTTTTAAAAGCCTTCCTTTCCTTTGTTGGCTCCTTGCTTCCCTCCCTTCTTCCCTTCTTTCCTTCCTTCTATCCAAAGGTCAATTGGCAAGGCCCCAGCAGGGGAGTAATGGTGGCCTATGCAGGGACAGTTTAGGGTGGGACAACAGGGGTAGCTTGGTGGGAATGGAGGATTGGCCACATACACAGGGTGGAACAAATCTATTTACTGAGAAAAATCAGAGCCAAATTTTCACTGTCAGAGAAGGAAGGTATAAAAAGCTAGGATTGGAATTGTAGCTGTCAGTGTGAATTCATAGTTTATAATATATTAATAGGTATAAAAATAAATATAGAGGTTTACGAGTACATAAACATATGTATACTTCCTAGCTCTATTTACTGAGAGGGTCTGGGAGTAGCAACATCTCAAAAGAGATTATTCCCTGCACACAGATCTTGGCTTCTAACTACCACTCTCCAGTAAAAGGAGCTAGAACTCCTTGGAAAAATGGCTGATGTCAGCACTGGGGTGGGAATAGTACAGGAAAAGCCTGGAGCATCTTGTTATAATGCAAGTTTAAAGAATGAATTTACAAGGAGCTGAAAGGCATTCTAGGCAGTGAAAACAGTAGGTACAAATACACGGAGACATAATCTCTCCTTCTCTTGTGTTCCCTCACTCGCGAAATGGAATCAACATCCATCCAGTTCTCTAGGCCAGAAACCTGGGACTTATCCTTCACCCTCCCTTGTCCTCGCTCACTTTATCATATTCATCTCTAAGGTTTGCCCATTTTAACCCCTAAATATCTTACAGTTTCTTCAACTTCTCTCTATTCCTTCCACTTCCATCTTGGCCTGAGTACCTATGGTCTTTTCCCTGGACTACCTCAGTAGTCTCTGTATTTCCTGAATCCCTGTCTGCTCCTCCCCTCCCTGCGTACACTCTTTCCCTTCTCCATTCCATTCTCCACACTGCTGCCAAAATGACCTCTAAAAGATACAAATCTGATCATCCATCTCTCCTCTGGCACCACCAGTGCCCTCCCTCACACCAAAATACTGTGAGAATAAAGTCGAAAATCCTTAACATAGGCCATAAATCCTTGCAGAATCTGGCCCTTCCTTGTCTCTAGCCACTCTGCCCTGGGTTTCTACTACTTTCAGTGATTTCTTCAATTCAACACCACTGTGTTTTTTCTTACCTTCAAGTGTCTGACAGGTTTTTTCCTCTACCTGGGTTGCCTCACTCCCTGAAAGAAGCCCTCTCTGGAATCTAGCTTAAAAACAACCTCTCCATCATAAGCTCTCATAGCACCATATACTTTTTCCTTTATTGTAAGAAAAGAAATTTTCACAGTTTCTAATTGAATATTTGCAGGATTATTTTATTGCTGTCTGTTTTCTCCACTAGACTCCAGGCATCTAATTTGCTTACTGTAGAAATCTGAGAATCTGGTGTAGCATGTTGTACAGCACAGTGGGTATGAATGAATGAAAGAGCAAGAGGTTCATGATCTGGTGGGGAAGAGACGCAGATATACCAGTAACTAAATAACAAAGCAGAGTGAGCATTGTGGATGCTATAATAGAAGTATGAACAAACGACTCTTAGAATAGAGAAGAGGGAGGGATTAATTTCCCTTGGTAAGCTCTAGGAAGGAGCAGCTACCATGAATAATTACCAAATTGTAGTTTCTGATGGTGACTTTTCATATTTATTTCTTTTCCTCTTTTTTTGATCTTTTTAAAAATAATCTGATTCAACTAAAAAAAAACCCTGTTATAAAGTATGAAGCCTTGGCTCAAATTTTATTTCAGCTCTATGTAATAATAATTTCTGTTTTAACTCATAATTTAATGCAGGTGAAAAATCTAAATTTTTATGATGTGGTTCTGGATTTTATATTAATGGATTCCTTTGAAGATTTAGAAAACCCACCCACATCCATACAGAATGTAGTAAATAATCGCTGGCTAAACTCTTCCTTCAAAGAAACGGTAAGTGATGATTTACC